AACAACAAAAGATTTATGGGTGATTTTGAATAAGAGTGGAATAAAAGAGAATGACAATGAAGTGGATGGTGTAGATGTTGATCGACTGAATTTTGATTTTGTGTATAATCAATCTGTTGATCCAGTTAATGTTTCGTATGTTCCTGAGAGTGTTTATGGTGGTTTTTCGTTTCGTATTGTTGATTTTGTTGAAATTGTAGATGGGTTTAGAAAGATTAAGCCTTAAGCTATCGGGTATGATGGTTTTCACCTTAAGTTTCTGTTTCCTTAAGTGGAACGTCATTTGTTGCATGTTGTAAATACCATGATAATAAATACTCTTTAGAATGGTTGAGCGTGTTTTGAAAGAGCAAATTCTTGCGTATGTTAACCAGCGATCATTATTTTATGATAGTCAATATGGGTTTAGACATCATCGGAGTACCACGTCCCTACTTGTTAGTTTAACTGACAATATAAGAAAGTCAGTTGGTGGGGATGGTTGTTGTGTGTTGCTGTCGCTGGACCTTGAAAAGACATTTGACAGAATCAATCACTCAATGCTAGTAAGTAAGCTACATGGCGTATGAAGCATGTTTATTTATTCATGGTAATTTCAAAGTCCGAAGACCATATATGTATTCAAAGATAAATTAAAAAAGTAATGTATTAAATAAACACGACAATAAAAGCGGACAATAAATAATAACCCATCTACATTTCACTAATTATCAGAACGAAAACTAGCAAAAGCAGCAGTTAGCTACAAAAGTCCAAAAAAAAATCTGTCTCCAGACTAAAATTCTACTCGAAAGTCGAGCAGAAGTAGTATTTAGCAGAATAAAGGTATATATAATTTAACATGGACTCAAAGTATACTAAACATAAGATCATGACATAAAATAAGTACAAAAATGTATATAAAAAAAGTACATTGAAAATTGGTATACAGAAAAATATATTAAACATTAAATTAAATATATAAAAAAAATAATTATTATTTACCCTTTGTGGCCTGAATTTGTACCCGTGCCAGTTGAACTATTTTCTGTTCAAAGATTTAATGTAACTATCCTAAATAGGATATGAGCAAAATTTGACGTCGCTACATCCTTGCATTCGGGAGATACAGTATCTTATTTCCGAAAAATAAAAGTCCAATATCAACAAAAGCAAATGCAATATCGACGAAAAAGTCACTTTTAACCCTTTCAGTGTCAAAAAAAAAATTTTGTCGGAATACAAATCTAAAATTTTGTACTTAAAATCATATGAAGGCACATAGTTTAGAAAAAAAAGCAATTCTGATTTATATTAGCAAAAACAAAGACATCAATTGTAACGTTTAACCAAAAATTTGCAAAAGAAGAGAGTAATTTTAAATGTAGAATATATTCGTTCTCTTTTTTACAAGAACAACAATTGCAATCCCTTTCAAATACGAAGCGATTTAAATATTTTGGACACACACAATTTGGCATATATTTTTGCACGTATTGAAAAGCGTTAACTTGACCAAAAATTTTAATTTTTTTTTTTCATTTTTTGTTTTGTTCACATTTAAATATATATAAAATGTCAACATTTTGTTGCGTGGGCAAAAAATAAAAGATTACAATCAAAAATAATACCAGTAAGGAATTGTCGGACGGGGCAATTTTTTTTCACCACTTTGGGTATATTCCCTTGCCCCTCTCTCCATTTTTACAAACAAAGACTTGCCGCATGTCATTCTGCAACTCGATACTAAATTTTTCATTTGGTCAGATATAGATATATCTAAGACTTTTCAGGAAAAACACACATTCTAATTTTAACCCAAATTTCGGCAAATCGAAAGATATATAGGGACTTTGTCTGCACCATTTACAAAAACAATATATATATGACATCAATTGTTTGCCAACGGTACATAGGATAACCAAAAATTTGCAAAAGAAGAGATATATTTTAAATGTAAAAGTATATATGGGAGCTATATCTAAATCTGAACCGATTGTCACGAAACTTGGCACACATCATTCTAGACCTTATTCATTACACTGTGCCAAATTTCGTACAAACCGAAAGATATATAGGGACTTTGGTACACAATTTACCTTAAATCGGACGAAGATATATATGGGAGCTATATCTAAATATGAACCGATTTTCACGAAACTTGGCATACATCATTCTAGACCTTATTCATTGCACTGTGCCAAATTTCGTACAAATATTATGTAGGGACTTTGGTACACACCTTAAATCGGACGAAGATATATATGGGAGCTATATATATTTTTTCACGAAACTTGGCATACATCATTCTTGACCTTATTCATTACGCTGTGACAAGTTTCGTACAAATCGAAAGATATATAGGGACTTTGGTACACAATTTACCTTAAATCGGACGAAGATATATATGGGAGCTATATCTAAATCTGAACCGATTTTCACGAAACTTGGCACGCATCATTCTGGACCTTATTCATTACGCTGTGCCAAATTTCGTGCAAATCGAAAGATATATAGGGACTTTGGTACACAATTTACCTTAAATCGGACGAAGATATATATAGGAGCTATATCTAAATCAGAACCGATTTTTATGAAATTTTACACACATCATTCTAGACCTAATTCATTACGATGTGCCAATTTTCGTGCAAATCGAAAGATATATAGGGACCGTTTACATTAAATCACAAAATATATATGGGATATAAATCTGAATTTTTCCCAATTTCAATAGAGAGATCCTTGGGCCAAACAAATGAGATGTGCCAAATTTCATCTAATTCGGATCATAAATGCGACCTGTACTTTGTTTACAATTTAACATCTACAGACGGACAGACGGACGTAGCCGTAGCCCACAGACATATGTTTGCCAATAAAACAACGAAAGATTTATGGGTGATTTTGAATAAGAGTGGAATAAAAGAGAATGACAATGAAGTGGATGGTGTAGATGTTGATCGACTGAATTTTGATTTTGTGTATAATCAATCTGTTGATCCAGTTAATGTTTCGTATGTTCCTGAGAGTGTTTATGATGGTTTTTCGTTTCGTATTGTTGATTTTGTTGAAATTGTAGATGGGTTTAGAAAGATTAAGTCTTAAGCTATCGGGTATGATGGTTTTCACCTTAAGTTTCTGTTTCCTAGTGGAACGTCATTTGTTGCATGTTGTAAATACCATGATAACAGTGTCTGTTTTTCCTGAGGTTTGTAAGATAGGGAAAATTGTGTCTATACGTAAAAGTAATGATGTAAGAGAGTATAGGCCGATATCCATAATGCCAATACTCTTTAGAATGGTTGAGCGTGTTTTGAAAGAGCAAATTCTTGCGTATGTTAACCAGCGATCATTATTCTATGATAGTCAATATGGGTTTAGACATCATCGGAGTACCACGTCCCTACTTGTTAGTTTAACTGACAATATAAGAAAGTCAGTTGGTGGGGATGGTTGTTGTGTGTTGCTGTCGCTGGACCTTGAAAAGACATTTGACAGAATCAATCACTCAATGCTAGTAAGTAAGCTGCATCAATTTTTTAATTTTTCGACCTCAGCGTGTAAACTGATATTTTCATATTTATTTGGTGGAAAGCAATACGTAAGATATAAAAATTGTGTTTCCAGTATGTTGTCTTTGAGTAGTGGTGTGCCTCTAGGATCTGTTCTGGGCCCCCTGTTGTTCGTAATGTATGTTAATGATTTATTCAGTTGTATTAATAGTAGGAATTGTATGTCGTTTGCTTTTGATGGTGATATACAAATATTCTTTAAAGGGGAAAATGTGTTCATTTATGTTTTGCAGTCTTAAATTGATTTTAATGTTAATGTGCTAGTCACGTGGTTAACGAATAATGGGCTTTCAATAAATACTCAAAAAACTAAAACTATGATTTTTGTCAAAAAGCAAGTTAATATTATAAATATTTCCATATGTAGTGTCTCAATATATGTTGTAAGATTAATTAAGTGTCTTGGTTTGTTGCTTGATAATGGTTTGGTGTTTGATGTTCATGTCAATTCAAGGGATATAAGAATTCAGGTGATACATGCGCTGATAATGCCACACTTTTTGTATTGTATTGAAATTGTTAGTGGTAGTTGTGGCTACGTCGTACACAAACTTAGACTCTTGTTTTATCGAGTCATACGTTTTGTGTTTGTGTTGAAGCTGCGTGATCACGTTTCTCCGTATGTTAAACAATTTCTGGGTAGTTCCTTTGATCACTTTTTGTGCATTAGGTGTATGATTTTTTTTCTTTAAAACGTGTAAAAGCCAAGCCACACCCTCCGTGTTGCAGCTGTTCTCATTTAGTAGGTCTGTAAGGAATACACAAATTAACGTTCTTCGTTTGACCCCTTTGTTGGAGAAATCCTTTCATGTAAGAATTGCTCGAGTATTCAATGGTTTACCACAGGGTCTCAGGCATTCAGTGGTCCCATTAAATGTTATTAGAAAGCTTTGATTGAATATCCTAATTTGCATGGATTTTGATGTACTTTCTTTTGTATTACTTGCCCTGATATTGTTGTTGCATAGCTGATTTACTTAATTATTTTTTATACATCCTACTGTGATTTAATGTTAAAATTTAAATTAATTACTTATTCATGTTTTTTTTTAAAATTTTATGTTAAGATAAATCTATTGTAAGGTTTAAGATTTTGGAGTAGTAGATGTATAGTGGTTGTTGCTAGGTTCCCATTCATGAAAAAATAAATATATTGAAATTGAAAATTAGATTTAAAAGAAATCATCTGCTTATTTAAATCGATGTCCAATATTTCATAAAGTTGCAGCACAACCTTTTTTCTTTACGAACTAAAAACACGATAAATTAATTAATTCATGTCAAAAATAATTTACTGTCGTATTTATACAATAAATCGATACTATGAATGTTGACAACAGCGTAAAATATTAAAAACAAGTCGTAAAGTAGGTTATGTTCGAAATTCGGCACTGATATAGTATAGTCTACTAAGTAGACAGATAAAATAAATCGTTTTTGGCTTACCATTTCGAACATTCGTTCGTTGTTGGGAGTTCATATTACAAACACTTCCCTTCCGTTGTTGTACGGGGTTGCCTGATAGAATATTCGCTGCGTGTTCTCGGCCTCTAATCATTAAACTTTCAGGGTGGTTCCAATTTTTAAGTAAACGTTGAGCACGTTGCTTTGGTAATGCAGACAACAATGACAATTTCTTTTCGATACCATCTTTTGAGTCATCAATATCTATAAATGAAACAGGTATCATTATTAAAGTATTCAATGCAACCCAAAATCATTATAAATACCGCTTATGATTGCTTTCATAACATCGATTTGAAGTTCGAAAACAAAATTCTGAACATATTGCAGAAACATGTCAAACGTTAGAGCCCTGTATCCGAGGTATGTAAAGAATGAGGCAAATCCCTGTGGTAGAGGGAATGCTATAGAGTCTACAGCCAAACAATATCTTTCCAAAATAAGAAAAAGCGAATGTTGTTGACCATTGCTCATTTGGTCTCTGCAAAATTTTAAAAGAAATTATGTAATCATATTTTAAACAACATTATATCCTTACATTAATTGAAATCCCCGAAAGGTTTCATGTCTGGCATCCAAACCGGCAGCCCGGCAGACTAATGAACAAAGGGAGCGAGATAAATCTAATTGTGATGCAACATACTGTGTTGCGACAGCGTGCACATGTGCCGGAGCTTGAGATCTTTCAAAGAAAGTCTCTTTCAACCATCGAAATCCACTGTTTGGCTTAGACGAGTTTTTTACCAAGTGTACACTTAACTCACGTAACGTCTATGAATGATGCATAATTTATAAAAATAATAATTGATAATATAATGTCTTTTAAGATCTCACCACTGACATAACATGCTCCTGTTTGGTTGCAGTGCACGATTCAACTTCTATAAATGGCATAACTTCATTGCAACTGCGACGACTTGCCGTAGAAAAGTCATTAAGTCCACAACCCCCGCTACCTGCACCAGGAGTAGTCGTTTGGGGTGTTGTGCATCTTGACAATGCTTCTGGCTGGTAGCAGGCCAAGGAAAACATCAATTTCTCACTGACTTGCTCTACGGTGAAGCGCCTATTCGCACAATTCGAATTTTCTTTTTGTCCAGCATCGTTTAGGTGTTCCCACAGACGAGTCCAAATATCAGCTTTATACGGCGACAGACGTTGTTGCGGGGACAATAGCATCATACTAGTATTCCACAGACTCTCATGAGAGATACCAACGCTAATATCGGCCACTCTTGCCTGTATCGGTTTTGATGCGTCAGCTGTAGTTAGCGGCAAGAACTTCGACATACTTATGGCATCTGATGGTAGGCCGCGTAATGCTGCCGCATAACTGCCAGCAACTAGAGACTCTTTTAGTAAAGCAACGGTATCCAAGGACAATGGTCGTTCCATTATAATACTTAAAAGTTCTGACAATACATCCAATTGATCGTTCGAGGCGTGAACCAAAAAATGATGTATTATACTTAATCTATTATCAACGGAAGTATCATTTCGAAATGCTTCTATAAGGTGCGAACGTGGTACGGACAACGACACTAAATCCAATGTGGCCGTATCATATGCCATGGAACCCCATTTTCGGCATGGAACAAGGTGGGTTAGTGGATTTCGGTTGTGAGCCGGGCATACTATGTGACAACAAGGTTCATGTGTCAAACCAACGTCCAAAAGATGAACAAACAAATCTGGCTGAAATACAAGCAAGTGATGGGAGCCATGTAAAGCAAAAGTGGGCTTTAACAGGCGGGCCTTCTCCCAAGGCACACCTGGCATTACACAATGCACAACACAGCCATGATGCAGCAAAGTAACGGAGTAAGCGAAATGGACATCAACTTTCCGACCATTTGCAGATGTTGCTGATGATGCCGTCGTTGAGCTTCCAGCAGATGGTGTTTCACTTTCGTCGACATTTTTTGGCTGTATTGGTTGGTACAGATAATAATGGCAAACGAAAAGCATTCCACTAGAATCGGCCAATATAATTAGGTTTAAAGACGTGTCGTGAACTCTGAGTGGTACTACGTCATCCTCATAAGTAGGATCATCGTCGTCATGGAATGAACCAGTTGGTAATTTGGGCAAATTTAAGGGTATATTCAACTGGAAAAGTCAGATTCGTGCGAAGAAACAAAGTAAACTGTATAGTCAGTCCAGCTATTAAATAATTTATATATACCTACCACCGTTTCTGTTGGTAACTTGTCGTTAAACTGAAATGCTGATAATGTTGGACTCATTACATTCTCACTGTTTTCATTGTCGCCATCAGATTCCATAAGTGAAATGCTCTTCGCCTTTGGTTTCATATGTATGTAGTAAAGAGCTTGGTTGTCACTATCCCATTGGGCCCAAGTAAATTTTTTTACTAAGCACTCAGCTGTCAATATTGATGGATCCAGATACCATTCATCATCGTTGGCAAAATCCAAAGTAAGTGCCGTGAGATCTCTTGTTTTAATTGTACATGTGTACTGGAGAATGCCTTGAACAAATATTTATTATTATTAGGAACATTAATGAGTGTGCATAGAGAATTACTTACTTATTCCATGTGTTAGTACCAGAAGTTTATCTTGCCAAACCTTATCAAATCGGTTTTCTGTGCGCCACAAGAATTGCGTTAATACTTGACGCTTACTCGGTACCTTCAGTAAGGATGTGCATTCGGGACTCAGTTCTTTAGATCGTACTTCAACAATATATGCATAGTAATAAGAGCGACCAGGCTGACAAGCGTCCGATTCACACTCTGTTTCATCAAACACTTTTTTTACAACGTAGGCCAGAAGACTGACCGAATTATTTACGGTGGCCTGCACAACTTCGACACATTCTTTTAGTCGATGCAGAATACGCAGTGTTTTGGTATTTGGGTTGAAGTGTCCGATGCAAGTCTCTCTTTTTCCGCTATCCACCTTTTCAAATTGCCAGGAGGCCAGCATAGAACCATCCTTTTCTTGCCCTAATACTCGCCATTCCAGTGACTTTTCTTTACGAGGAAAACAAAAAGAAAATAAGTTATTCCATAATCAATTAACCAAATAAATACCTGTGTATCCCTGGCTCGCCAATAATCCACAAAAATTAGCTGCCAAGTTTTCCTGCCTTAACATTGTTGAGTGATTTTTCTCATTTCCTATCTATATTAGATTTGGTTCCGGAACGAACTAGTTCATTGGAACTATTCCGAGAAAGGAACGAACGGAACTAGTTCCAGTTCTTTAATTAATATAATTCCTTTCTCTGATCCAGTTCCTTTTTTGAACTATTTGAAGCAAAGGAACTGTATGGAGCAAAGGAACTATAAAGAGCAAAGGAACTATATGGAGCAAAGGAACTATATATGGAAAAACGAAAAAAAGAATGATGAAAGAGAGAGATTCAAAAGAACTATGTAGGAGTCGGAACTATATGGAGCAAAGAAATTGTATGGACTAAAGGAATTATATGGAGCAAAGGTACTATATGGATCAAAGGAACTATATGGAGCAAAGGAACTATATATGGAAAAACGAAAAAAAAAAATAATAAAAAAGAGAGAGATTCAAAAGAACAGTGGGAAGCCTCCAAGACTCCAGCCTTCATAAAATTCGCTTGTTAATCGTCGTTCTGCCAAGACTCAAGCGACGTCGTACGCAAACCTTCGCCAACAAATGGTCTGTTCCAGTACTTTTTATACCCTCCACCATAGTATGGAGGGTATATTAATTTTGTCATTCCGTTTGTAACTCATCGAAATATTCATTTCCGACCCTATAAAGTATATATATTCTTGATCAGGGTAAAATTCTAAGACGATCTAGCCATGTCCGTCCGTCTGTTGTAATCACGCTATCTTCTGAAGGAATTGAGATAGGGTGCTGAAATTTTGCATAGGGTTGTCTTTTGTCTGCAGGCAGGTCAAGTTCGAAGATATATCGGTCCACGTTTAGGCATAGCTCCCATATAACCTTACCCCCCAATTTTCGGTATTTTGGGGTTCTTGAGCGCGTTTTTCAACCGAATACGCTGAAATTTGGTACATTGAGTTCTTATTGGGTACTAAATGTCTCCACAAAAAATTATAAATATAGGTCCACTTTTTCTTGTAGCCCCCATATAACGGTACCTCCTAATTTTCAGTATTTTTTGGGTTTTTATCGTATTTTTCACCGAATTGGCTGTAATTTAGTATTTTGAGTTCTTAGCAGGTACCAAATCTCTCCACAAAAAAATTTAAATATAGGTCAATTTTTTCGGATATCCCCCATATAAGGGTACCCCCCAATTTCGGTATTTTGGGGTTCTTGAGCGCGCTTTTCAACCGAATTCGCTGCAATTTTGTACATTGGGTTCATATTGCGTACCAAATATCTCTACTAAAAATTATAAATATCGGCCCACTTTTTCTGGTAGCCCCCATATAAGGGCACCCCAAATTTTCGGTATTTTGAGGTTCTTAAGCGCGATTTTCAACCGAATTCGCTGAAATTTGGTACAGTGGGTTCATATTGGGTACCAAATATCTCTATTTAAAATTATAAATACCGGTCCACTTTTTCATTTCAAATACCTGTCAGTATACCTGTGGTGGAGTGTATCCAAAGTTCGGCCCGGCCGAACTTAACGCTTTTTCACTTGTTTAATAGTAAAGCTAGTAAAAGGGAAACATTTCAAGTCTCAGAGTACAAAATAATTTGAAAAGTTCGGGAACGCAAATCTAGTAAATATGCCAAAATTAGATGGCAATACTTCAAAATCAACATAACAAAAAGTTTACAAAGAGAAAGCCATTTTGTTTTGTGCTCTCTTAAATTTGATTCAATGCTTTACCAGTTTTATGGGTTTAGGAACGGTTTTCGAGTAAAAAGTTGCAAAACTTGTAAAATTAGTAGATTCTTTTAGGTTTTGGAACGGAACTATTATGAATGATTCCGATAGAATTTTAGTTCTTGGTGATTTTAATATGCCATCTGTAAAATGGCTCTCATTGCCAGATTCAGAATGTTTAACGTCGTTGACATCTGAAGCAAGTGTAAACCAATATACATTTGATATTAGGTTTGTTGATATCGCAATAATTTGTAACAATTTGTACAAATTGTTACAAATAGATTGAAATATATAAACGCATTTATTAAAAATTGTTATTTTGCATGCAATTCCTTAAAACTTCTAATCGTAACACATACATTTCAATTCTTACTGGATTTTACTGAATGTTCTTCGATAACTTTCTTCAATATTTTCACATGAGAGAACAAACTCTCTCAACTTAAATTACTGAGTAATTTTTACTCAGTAAGCTATCGGACAAACCTATTGTTAATCGATTTTGTGAAATTAATCTCATTCAAAAAATAATATTTTAAATTGTAATGCATGGTACAATTATAAAAGGTAACAGCAAATCCCAGCTGATTTGATTCCAACGTAATACTAGTGTCAATATGAATTTGACAAATTATGTTTTTAAAAATCACCCAACAGGAAAATTGGGAACGCATACAATTTGAAATTGTTCTTTATTAAATGTGCTCTTGTATTCAATTTACTCAATCTGCCTGCTGGGAAAGTTTGAGGAAGCAAGTCTTTCTTCAAGGAATAAATCGCTATTCCCAGCATTTTCATATGTGTTACACATATATATGGCAATGGCTCAATTATAGAAAAGATGTGGAAGCGATAGAAATATAAATTTGATACATTTTCATTCATGTTTTTCAATTTTTATTTTGAGGATTCGAAAATATTTAATTTTCAAAATAAATATAATTTATTTGTTTCTTTACATTTTTCTGTCAAATGACGTTGACACTAGTATAACTTACAAAAACAAATTTGCATGTGGTTGTTGTATCGTTTGTTGTACAACAACACTTGCTGTTACCTTCTATTATTATACCATGATTGTAATGATAGAATCCTTGATCTAGTGTTTGTAAATTTTACACAATTTTTTTAATTAATTCGAATTCCTGCTATATGTACTCCGGAAGATAATTATCATCCAACATTATATACAGTGGCTCCATCGAATAATCGGACAAGTGGTTGTCAGATATAATAATGCTATACATTTCAAAAAAATTGTTTAAATGTGTAGTTTTTTTCGCTTTTATTTACACATTACTTACTTATATTTCTGAACAATACAAAAAACAACAACTTTCCCAGTGATAACAGTAAATTTCGCCAGAAAAACAAAATTAACTCAATTTATTGTGCTCAACGCAAAATCGGACAATGCAAAGTATCAATGTCAAAAAATGCAAAAAATCGAGAAATTAATATTTAGTTGCATATTCTTTGTTGTGCAGAACGGCCTGTAAACGCTTCGGTATTGATTTGACCAAATTCTGGCATACCTCCGGCTCTATGGAGTTCCACGATTTCAGTAAAGCCTCCTTAAGCTGTACCAAGGAGTTACATTTTTTTCATACACTCTTCTAGCTAATTCTTCGCAAAGATGCTCAATTACGTTAAGGTCTGGGCTCTGTGCAGGTGTTTGTATAAGTTTGGGACAGTTATGGATCAACCAAAGCTTTGCAACACCTGATGTGTGCTTGGGATCGTTGTCTTGATAAAAGGCAAAGTTGTTCGCGATACCCAATTTGTCTGCACTTTGATTTACATTTTGTTTTAAAATGTTGAGGTAGACAAATTTGTCCATTTTACCATCAATAAAATGCAAATTGTATATTCCCGCACTCGACATGCAGACCCAAAACATAACAGAACCTCATCCGTGCTTAACAGTGGCTTTTGTATTCTTATGATTAAATTCAGCATTTGGCTTACGCCACACATACATCTTTCCATCTGATCCGTGCGAATTAAATTTGCTTTCGTCAGTAAACAGATCCTTAATATAATGGAAACTATCAATAGAAATGTATTTTAAGATGATCTATCATCAAATTACCTGCTTCCAAAAATCTTCTAATTTTAGTAAATACTCCTTGGCATATTTTATTCTACTGTTTTTATTTTTAAGGCTTATAAATGCTTTTTTTCTTGCAACTCTTCCATAATAATCATATTTATGTAATGTATTGCGAATAGTATTTAGGCACACAACTTTTCAAGTGCGAGTTTTTAAATTTATTTTAAGTTCTTTTGCGCTTTTAAATGGATATTGTTTTATTTCTTTTAATATCGAACGCTCTTCTCGCTCATTTGTTACGTTCTAGACCTAATGCGGCGTTATGGCGGGGTTCGCACTAGCTCAGTTGGGAACACTTTTCGATCAGGGGAGTTCTCAACCCTTGCCACCATCAACCCTAGGGAACGAACAACTAGAAATTTTTGGATCATACAAAACACAAAAAAACATAAACAAACACAACATACACCTATGACGAAGGAGCTTGGTTTAGTGCTCCTCCACTATGCCCGCCCATCCTTGACCCTTTAGTCCAATTAATAAAGTTTTATATTTAAAAGGGCCCCAAATTCCACACACACTTACCTCACGAAAACTTACACCTAATTCCCTCTCTCACAAAGAAAACTTAACACAACATAATTTCTAATAACATAAAATCAAACATAAAAATCATTTATTGACATTTTTTTGGACCTTAATCTAACACAAAACATGAAAAATTATGTCAATTCATGAACTCCTAACTCCTTTTCTCTCAGTGTGAATCAATATCGTAGATTACCAACACTTTGCGTTGGGCATGTTATACTGCCAATTCAGGCTACTTTAGTCAACTACACCTACCTAAGAGAGCTCTGTTAGTGGTGACGTGGGCGGTTAAATCGCACTCACAAATTATTCAAATACTTGCTCCACGTAGCTATGTGGTAATCTAGCTCACCAGTTAATAAAAGGGGTTAAAAATCCTCACAAAATATAAATCATTTAAATTCTTAATACTAAACTAACTACTAACATTCACAACTTATACTAACATATATTCTTGTTTTAATTATATTTTTTTGTCTTTTTTATAGTTTTTGTGTCTTTTCGTAAAAATTGAATTTAACGTTTTCTTTTTTTTATCTCATTTCAGGTTTTTTTGATTTGCATAGGGAACTGGCACTTTCATTATTCCAGCATTATCATCAATCGGTATGTGTTATATTAATATTGTTTTACCTGGTTTCCATTTAATTAATATAT